ACTGTTGTCTATTATCGTGTACATAGACACGAAGAAAATACATAAATAAATAGGTAATCAAAAATAAACATATTATAATCATTTTAAAATCAATACATTCATCGCTCCTCTCAGAATCTAAAATATGAGCATGCTTTTAACCTAACTGTAGATGATATTGATCCAATAGTTGTTGGCAAAAATTATGTAGGTATTATTTTTATCAATTTATTTATGTATTGTATTATTAGTGTATTATACCTATAGATTATACATTTCATACTAATGTATATRCATTGACATGTATCGATGTATTTGCATTGAGTGTGGATACTCTTTCTTTTTATAATGATATATGTTATTCTCATTGCATACACTAAAACGAGCAGTGGCAACAATGAACGAAAGAGTTGCCTAGGTATATATATATATATATATATATATATATAAAAACACAACTCCTAAAAAATTATACACGTTAGCAGAGCCATCAATATTTTGAACTAAAAAATGATTTACAAATTGCTGACTACATATTAGAACTCGTTTACCTCAACCACATCACCACAAGCTTTGCTTATAGAATTAAATTAATCAAAATACTTTAGGGGATTAGTATACCTACTGGTCAATTTAAGGAACTCGAAATAGACATTTTTCGAATTGCATGCATGCGTACGTACATGCATGTCTCGTAAATGTATAACACAGCGGCGTATTTAAGAATTGTTATAGGTAGGGGATGAGCCATTGAACGGTACACTTAAAGGTGGGGGGATGTTTCCAAAACTTCATCAGGAAATACTGCACAGTTTACACTTTACACACCATAATATGGTTATTATTATATTCATTGAAAACCAATTAGTCATTATTTTTAATGAATAAAAATAAATTATTGATTATTACTAATTACATTTGAAATAAATTTATAAATAAAATTTACAATAAGAATAATAAGAAATTAAGTACAAAAATAATAGTTTCATAAATATTTATTTTTACTATAATAGTAGCTATTAAATAGAACATTTAACAATATAAATTATAAATGAAAAATGAAAAATACTTATTATTACTATAATAAAAAATCAAGTTTTCTTTGTTTAGTTGCCACTTCATCAATTACTTCATCAATATTTATGTCTATTTCCCGATGAACTGATAAAAGTGCTAGTCCGTGAAGACGTTCCTAATACAATAAAAATCATTAATAATGTATTAGATAATTATAAATAGTATAGCAATATTAGAAAATAATATAAGCAAAACCTCATTCATTGAATTTCTGCAGTATGACTTTAAACGTTTTAATGTGGAAAAGCTGCGTTCAGGTGTTGCTGTAGGTAGTTAACTACCCGGTAGTTATTAGTTAGTTATCATTATTAGTGTGTGTGTGACTATAAATAAAACAAATATTTGAGCGCTCCACCACGCACTTATACAAGTCACCGTCTACAATTTATGCTCATTTGTAAGTACTTTTTGTCAATCCTGTCTAATAATGCGATAATATTTTAGAAAATTGATCTAAATTTKTTATCATCTTTACTTGAGATCGGTCAGTCCATATCTTAAGATTTCCAATTTAAATTCCAAATAATCAACGTTTGAAAATTCCAAAATGTCAAAATATTCAAACTAAATTTATAGTAAGTTGTTAGGGAGGTGAAATAGGAATAAGTGAACTAACCGATCTCAAGTGCACAAAATAATGAATTCAAATCAGTCTTGAAAAAAGAATTATCACTTTACTGAATCATCAGTATGATAGAAAAAATATTGGTATGTTTGGCTAAAATAACTGTCCGTGACGATCCCCATAACTTTATAATTGAATTGATGAAATAAAAAAATAAATCTATAGTTGCGTTTGTATATGGATAACAACAAGATAAGAGTAACGATCGATGATAAACCGTTATAATTTTTGAGCATCCACTGTCCAATGACCAAAATATTTGAACTTCAAACGCTTATATAAAAAAAAAATAGTTTGACTTTCTCATGAATATTTTTCTTAAGGGTATAGATATACTTATGACGAGTTATCGAAGATCTTCTATTTTAAGTTTTACAATCTTATAGATATATAAAAAGAAAGGAATGTCTAAGTCAAAATTATTTGCAAACTTTAGAGATTTTGACATATTTTGTGAACATATACTATCTACAGAGGCTCGTAAAAAATTATTGACGATTTTCCTTTTTCTTCATTACACTTATAACAACTTATGAGGAACCCTTGTATTCAACTTAAAATTTTTGACCTAGAAAAAAATTATTTATCGTTAATAATTGAATATAGTTTTTAATTTCCCATGACTATAAATAGATCTGAAACAGTTAACTATGTTAAATTTAACCGTGTATGGAAGATTGTAATTTAAAGATTTGGTGAAATTTTAAATTATTTAGGGTTTTATACTTTTTAGATTACAATAAAAAAACTAAATACATTTTATTGAAAGTTKGTATTTTTTTCTAAAGTCATTCTAATCCATTAAATGGTCCTAAACATTTTTGAAATTTTTAAATAATTAGATTTTTCTGTTTTTTCAAAAATATGCTGCACTTGTGTTGAGTGATTTTTTATATGGATTTCAAATTTGTATTCTACAATTTAGGTAGATGATAAAAAGTCAGTGATAAAGTTATATATTTTCAGCTTCTTGCTCATTTTGATTATTTTATGATATTAATAAAAATTAACCTAGATAAAAGTGATATATTACAAACTAATTAAAATTTTATTTTATAATAAAAATTTGCAAATCCTTTTTAAAATCACTAATTACAATTATGCCACATTTTTAAAACAATAGAAAAAGTAGAATTATTAGCGAATTTCAAAAATATGTAAGTAAATACGTAACTTAATTTTGGGTTAAGGGCCATGGACACTAGATAAAACACTAACTTAGAAAATATAGATATCTTTCCATATATTATGGTAAAAATTATGATTACTATTTAAAAAACTCAAATGGAATTGCGTATGCAATTGAAAATTTGAAATTTTCTCAAAATGTACACTTATTATCTTATTCTGAACTATATTATGAAATATACTTTGTACTAAAAACCAAATAAAAAATGTAATTATTTTTTTAAAAATGTACACAGATGGATAGTAAACGAAAAATACTATTACACAATATAAAAATTATGGAGTATAGTAAACAGTATAGAATATCCKTATTAATAATATGTTATTTGCATAAATTAATAATAACGAAAAAACATTCATAGATGGGAAAATATTTTATTGGTAAGTATGTGTTATGTAATGTGTACCGTCACGTTCCCGTTGTCACTATTAATCATTAAATCGATCGACAATTTCAGTAACGATCCATATATAATAATATAATGTCACACTTGGCATTATTAGTTATTAAATATTACTTATTACCGTAATTTATTGGTGCAGACAGGTATGACCTGACCCCATCGACAACCATAGTTGTCGACAATCAGGTGTGGTAAGATCATGCGAGCACTTTAATCTAACGACCTATACAAATATTGAATTTCACTTGTTTAAATAACATCAATAGAAAAATAGCATATAACTGTGTATATGTTATTTAAATTGTTCATGATGTTCCAATAACAGAGTACACAATAATACACATTACTATAACGATCACTTAGATAATAAAAATGAAGAAAAAAAATGTTGATTTTGTTTCAAAATAAAATTAAAGGTACACATTGTTAACACAATAAATGCTAATGATAACGATTGGAACAATATTGTTTTTCCTATTATTTTAATGACTATATGTTAACTAGTTAGTAGTTATGTATATCGGGATAATATAATAGGTGTTATAGGAAATGTCTAATCAACGCCACACATCCTAGAGCAGCGTTTCCCAAACTTTTTCTCTGCCGGACCACTTAGAGAAAATAAAAATGATCCCGGACTAATCTTAAAAAGACAAAAAATTATTAATCTTAATTGCTGCAGTTTTCAACGATAACTATTTCGACAATATATTTATTATCCAGTATTTTCCATGCAATAAAAATAATGTTAATCGTATTTTCGTTTTATATATAAGTGTTTTGTGTATTATAGGTAGGTACACTGTTTTAATTTATATTTCGATGACATGATAAAACAATGTCAAAAATTTTAAATTATGATCTTTAAATAGGGATTTCTAAAAATCCCAAAAATAAGAATTTGTATAAAACTTGTTATTGACCTATTCCTAAATGAAAAAAGGGTGCGATCACATTTGGACCCAAACAGTTTGATGAATCACACTGCACAATAATTACGTCATATCGTGGTCGATGACTGTCTCACTGGCCACTGCTGTGTAATGATAATAATATTTATTGACAATAACAACAACGAACGAGTCCCTTAGATATTACATAAATGGCGGAAGTTGTAAGGAGATTGTGGTGCCAGTGGCGTACACACGGGGGGGTTTTGGGTGTTCAAACCCCCCCCCTCGAGTATTTTTTCAGTTTACGTAATTACGTAAAAATGTAAATAAAAACGATGACAATTTAAAAAAAAAATTAATAGTACTAATAAAAATAAATACAAAATTAAATTTAGGGAATTTCAGAGTTACCGTCACAATCGAGTTTCGATTACAAATGTACGGCGAGAGCCGAGAAGACCGTCGTCACCGAAGTAATTATTAGATATGGGATATTCCAAATTATACTCCATTATATTATAACTTATAAAGTTATAAGCAACCCAGTTTTTTGTTATAATAATATATTGTAGATATTATTGATAACTTGTTACAAATTAATTTATTAATGAAATTATTGGGAAATTTGTTCAAACACAAACATGAGGGTCGACAATCGTAGAATATTTATAGATCTGTGTAATCCGATATAATATGCCTTAATAAATAATAGCTATCGCAGTATCGCTAATACTATAGTATAGAATCTATTTCTCAGTTTTCAATCAAATTCCTGACGATTTGGACGTTTAGTAAATTGTACTTACTGTGTAAATATTTTATAAAACAATAAAAATGAAAAGAATAAACGAATATTTTTCTACTATTACGAATAAAAGAAGTCCCGTGCCTGCTATTCCAATAGCAGAAGAAGAATCATCACTAATTTGTGATACAATTAACTCGGAGGAACCAGGTAAATATTTAATACATTATATTATCAACCTAGGACCTAGGTACAAAAAAATGATTAA